CAAAGTTGCTGGAAAAGCTCAGCAGGTCTGGCAGCATCGTGAAGGAAAAAGCAGAGATAACGTTTCAGGTCCGGTGACCCTTCCTCACCCAGTTCTGAGGAAGGGTCACCGGACCTGAAACGTTAACTTTGTTTTTCCCTTCACATATGCTGCCAGACCTGCTGAGCTTTTCCAGCAACTTTGTTTTTGTTCCTGATTTACAGCATCCGCAGTTCTTTCAGTTTTATTAAATTTATCAGGATGTTGCCTGGGTTGGATAGTTTCAGTTATGGGTAGACTTCGGTTGTTTTTCTCAGAGCAGAGGAGATTGAGGGGACATGATCGAGATGTATAAAATTATGAGGGGCATAGATATGTTAGACAGGAAGAAACTTTTCCCCTTTGATGGAGGGATCATTGACCGGGGCATAGATTTAAGGTAAGGAGCAGAAGGTTTGCACAATATATTCACTACTTTTAAGGGCAATAGGGGTAGAAACCCTCATAACATTGAAAAGGTATTTAGATGTGCACTAGTGATGCGAAGGCACACAGGTCTATGGGCTAAGAGTTGGAAAATGGGATTAGAAAAGTTTGGAAGCAATGGGCTGAAGGGCCCTTTGCTGTGCTGTAGATGTCTATGACTCTATTTTCTCCTGCTAAACCTTCTCTCTGGACCCACTATCTCCTCCTCCTTCCCTGCCTACCGAGTCAGTTTAAACTCTCCCCAAACCTCCTTGCAAGAATGTTGGTCCCATTCTGGTTCAGGAGCAACCCATTACCCCAAAACAGTCCCAATATCATAGAAATCTAAAACCCTCCCACCTGTACCAGATGTCTTTATCTGGATTAACCTTCTATTCTATATTCACTAACACGTGGCACTGGACAGAATCCAGAATTGATTATCTTTTGGATCCTATTCTTTAATCTACTTCCTAGTTTCCTAAGCTCTGCTTGCAAGATCTCAACCCTTTTACTACGTATGTTATTGGTACTTATGTGTATCACAATCTCTGTCTGTTTGTCCTCCCCCTTCAAAATGCCCTGCAGCCACTCACTGACATCCCTGACTCTAGCACAGGGAGGTAAGATATCATCCTGGAGTCTCTTTTGCAGTTGCAGTAACACCTGTTTGTTCTCTTTATAATTCACTTCCACTGTAGCCTGCCTTTCTTCTTTCTCCTTTTTGTGTAGCACAACCACCGCATGGTGCCATGATGTTGGCTCCCACAGCATTCACCTGCACATTCATCTCCTCCAATAGTATTTAAAATGTCACATCTGTTAGAAAGGGGACAGCCACAGGAGATTCCTGCACTACCTACATTCTACTGCTCTGCCTGCTGGTCATCCATGCCCTTTCTGCTTGTTCAGTCTGCAGTGCAACCACCTTATTGACCGTGCTATCTGCAACTTGGTCAACACCACAGGTGCTCCACAGTGAACTCACCCACAGCCCCAGCTCTGAAATATAGCCAGTAGCTGCAGTTGGATGCACTTCCTGCACACATGGTTACCAGGGACAACCGAAGCTTCCATGATTTACCACATAGCACAGAAGGAACATATCACCGGTGTGAGCTCCGCTGCCATGATTTTCTTTAAGCCTCTTAGTTACTCCCATTTTTGAAAAAAAATTATGCTCATGTAAGAACACTATTAACTTGCATATCTTACATTAACTGTTCTTCCCTTACCATACCTTGGTACCATACCATACCTATTTGTACTACTATGTTATATTTGTCCTGTAACCTGTTTTGCACCCTCTCCAAAGCTTCCATATCTTTCCTGTAATGTGGTGACCAGAATTGATGCAATACTCTCAGTGTGGCCTCACCAAAGCCTTATGAAGCTGCAACATGATATCCTGACTGTTGTACTCAATTCCCTGACCAGTAAAGGCCAGCATGCCATAAGCCTTCTTTACTACCATTCTGACTTGTGTGACCACTTTCAGGGAACTATGGACTTGAATCCCAACATCCCTCTGTACATCAATGTTGTTCAGGGTTCTGCCATTAACTGTATACTTTTCCTTAACATTTGATCTCTCAAAGTGCAGCACCTCACACTTGCCTGATTAAACTCCAGCTGCCATTTCTCCGGTTATATCTGTAACTGATCTATATCCCACTTATCCTTTGACAACCTTCTACACTATGCACAACTTCAATGATCTTTGTGTTATCTACAAACTTACTAATCTGCCTATCTAAGTTTTCATCTAAGTCATTGATATATATCGCAAACAGCAGAGGTGTCAGTAAGGATCCCTGCGGAACACCACTAGTTATGAACCTCCAGCGAGAAAAAAACACCCTCCACCACTACCCACTAGGTCCAAACATTTGCCCTTTCAAACTTTCAAGATGGGCCAAATGATCCTTCTGAGCATCAATTCTATTTTAATGTGTGTGAAGCTTGCAAAGTCAGCATTCTGGTGCCCACCCCTATATGTGCGAAGCTGGTGCTGAGTCACTGCAGTCCAACTAAGTGTCAAGTTAGGCTATCTGAGAGTGTAGTTAAGGCACCACTGTGAGAAAAGCACCACATGGCAACTACTAGCCATGTAAGGATGGCTAACAATAGTGAACAAGATAGGGGTATAATTACAATAATAGTTTCATAGACGCCATTACAGATACTAGTTTTCAATTTGAGATTTGTTCATTTATAATTAAATGGCTACATGATCTAATTCTACTCCTATGTCAGTGACATTTCAGAATGTTACCACCAATGTTCTCAAGTAAGGCGTTCTGTGTACCACTTCAGAACTGTTCAGCCCACAGCTTGTACTGCACTGTCCAGTACCTGCAATCTTATCCTTCCTCCAGCAGGTCCTTCCATGCTTCTATCAGGCACCCTGAGCATGCACCCAGCTCCTTATCTGAGCTGCCCCAGCACTTGACAGGGAACCAATCGCTACCAAGTACGAAACCACACTCCACCCAACAGCAATAACTTTCCAGAGCTTAAAAAAAAGTTTTGTTCCAATTTTCCTAATCGTTGAATGTTCGTTCTCAGTGCAGGACAACAGGCAACTAACTGGAAGTGATTGAAACTGAATTTGTGAATATTTTGACAGGTAGGAGACTAAATAATGTGAGACTGCTGTATAACAACTGTTATGACATTAACTAAATCAAATGGCTCTTGTATTCTTTATAAAGAGCGTAACTTTTCAGAAGTCAGTAGGAAATTGTGAGACTTAAATTATGATTAATTCACAAGTGCAGTAAGTGTCTGCCAATTTATCCTATCTGAACAGTCATG